TGAAGTCATAGCCGGCTATACGCTCATCGTCATTCATATACTCTCCGTCAACATGGCCTTGGTCGCCCCATATCGATGTTTCTTCTTCCCTTTAGCTTCACTCCCTCCCTTGGCTGATATCATTCTGTGCTCTCTATATTCCGACCTTGGCCAGTATCTTGTGCCTCTGAATGACTCGGGGTAGCCTCCTGTTTTCCTCGGTTCTCCAAAAGTTCTTTCGGGGCTTGTCGACACAACGCTTCGCCCCCAATGGCAGACCATGAAACCAACGAGGCGGAGAAGAAGGAGATCTTGTTGGATGTCCCGCGTCAATATCCAGCCTCGTTGACTCCCGTATCGACAAACCGAAGTCAGCCTCGACCCAGTATCCACTCTGGTCGATCTTATGTGGATGGGCACAGCACATTCTTCAGTGACCGAGAACCTGGCGATGAGCCGGAGCAGCCGCAAGAGGTGGACGTGGAAAATCCGTCCAAGACGTTCGAAGTGGGTTGGGACGGTCCAGATGACCCTATGAACCCCAAAAACATGCATCCGGGGAAGAAATGGCTGGTGGTCATAACACTGGCCTTTGGCTCGTTGTGTGTAACGTGCACTTCTTCCCTCTATACCATCACCTATGGTTAGTATAAAAGCCAATGCTTCCCTCCAAAGTCATGTTCCGATGCTGATGGCGCCACAGAGCAAATGGACGCGGAGTTTGGCAATTCACGGATTGTTGCAACGCTCGGCCTGTCCCTCTTCGTCTTTGGCCTGGGGTTGTCTCCCATGATCTTGGGGCCTTTATCCGAGTTTTATGGTCGCCGCCCGATTTATATTCTGGGATATATATTCTTCACCATCTGGCTGTTCCCCTGTGCCTTTGCACAGAATATTCAGACCATGCTGATAGCCCGGTTCCTGGACGGCTTTTCTGGGAGCGCCTTCTTGTCCGTCGCGGGCGGGACCGTTGGAGATATGTTCAATCGTGACCAGCTGCAAGCGCCCATGATGATATATACGGCTTCCCCTTTCATCGGCCCAGGACTCGGCCCCATCATAGGAGGGTTTATCAATTACAACACCACCTGGCGATGGTCGTATTACACGCTTTTGATCTGGTCCGGAGTGATGGTCATCGCCATCATTGTGGTCGTGCCAGAAACGTACATGCCGGTGGTGCTGAGGAAGAAAGCGCAGAAGAAGCGGAAAGAGACGGGTGACGACAGGTACAAGGCTCCGATCGAGGTTTACGAGAAGTCCATCTTTTGGACGGTAGTGAGATCCCTGTATCGTCCATTCATGCTGCTGTTCTTGGAGCCCATGTGTTTCAACCTGTGCCTGTTTTCCTCCATCCTCTTGGGCATCCTCTACCTCTTCTTCGGTGCCTTCAATCTTGTCTTTACCGAAGTCTACCACTGGAAGATTTGGCAGGTCGGCCTATCTTTCCTCGGTCTGATGATTGGCATGATCTTGGCCATCTTGTCCGACCCCATCTGGCACAGGAATTACCTCCGACTCCTCCAGAAGCGGGAGGAGACCACCGGGGAACGCAAGTCGGAACCGGAATATCGACTGCCATCCTCGATATTCGGCGGGTGGTTCTGCGTGGCTGGGCTGTTTTGGTTTGCCTGGACCATCTATCCAAGCATTCACCCCATTGTGCCTATCGTCGGCAGCGGCTTTTTCGGGTTCGGCATAATTCTCGTCTTCACAGGGGTCTTCACCTTCCTCGTTGAGGCGTATCCCCTTTACGCAGCCAGCGCCCTGTCGGCCAACTCGTTCGCGCGGAGCTCCTTTGCAGGGGCATTCCCCCTATTCGGGGTTCAGATGTACAACAAGCTCGGCTTCCACTGGGCAACGACACTTTTGGCATTTCTGTGTTTGGTCATGGCGCCATTCCCGTACCTGTTCTTCATTTACGGCAAGCGGCTGCGCCAGAAGAGCAGATTCGCGTCCGTCCCTGGATCTGGATGAACATTGGAGGTATTGGTAACCTGGCCAGCAAGTGCAAGTGCAGAGAGAAAATTGGACTTTTTGGGAATTCTTGGAAAGTTATTATACAGATACAGTGGGTCTGACGCAACTCTAGAGCGGACCATGTAGAAAAAGGGGACCCATATACACTCTACATTGGGGAAGCTGCATGGCTTTTTATACAGGGCAAGACTGCGATAGACAAGATCAAATCTGTGCAATTACAGACTATTTGAACGTCAAACTCCCTTTTCGCTGCGCCTTGTTCTACAGTATCCACACATACGAGGCCCGGTCATGATCACCCTTGACATCTTCCTTGCCTCTGTCAGAAGGGCAATGGAAAGGAGCTGTCGATATGTGTCAGAGGCCCAGGCGGGCGGACGGGTTCCTGCGATTTGCACTTGCAGGTGACTCGTCCGAGTTGTGATGATGTTAGTTGGAATAGCATTTTGATAGGACGACCCTGCCGGACACCGCATCAAGCCGTGTCAATCAATGCACACATAAAACACAGCACTGTTGTCCTCGTCATACTCAGGGAGAAAAGGAGAGGGGTCCATTCTCGTGCTGTGCTCTGCATGTGGCGTGGCATTTGTTCAAGGATGTATGCTCCAAGGGCTCGGGGCGTGAGCACGGTCACAATGGCGGAGGAGAGGCGGCGGAACGGATGACATGCGCGTCCCGTCCGTCCCAGGACAATAATACTGGGTGACACCAGACGCGATGCGGTGAGTGCTTCAGGATGGTAGGACGAAATCCTCGATGGGCGAGGCACGTGTGGCGTCATCTTGGTCGGTACGCAGCGTGAACACTGGGCAGGGGATCCGTCTTACACTGACTGGGAAGAGGGCGGGAACTGTGGTGTACTACTTACAGAGTTTCCGGGTTCGAGGACAGCAACAACAACGGAAGTTCGGCTACTTGGATGAACGGTGAGGTGTGTGTGTCTTGCAAATGAATGGACTAAGGAATTGCCTTTTGGGGTAATAACGAGCCTGAGCCGACAGATTCCGAAAACCTCGGACGAAAACGGGCAGCCTTGTTCAAGAGATCAACATTGACCTCGGCACCCAATACCCGGGCCCCCTGCTTTACTTTGGCTTTGCTTTTTTAGTACTGGCTTACCTGGGTGGATCGGATTCCCACGTCCTTGGAGAGGAGAAAAAGAAAGGCCATTATTGCTGCCCAAAAGACCCCGTTGCATGGCTTTGCAAGCTTGCATCCTGATAGGTTGGTTAGGGTACATAACGCCGTGGCGCGGCGTGTGGGAGATCTTGGATGCTTTTTGTGTGTGTGCGTGCGTGTGTGTGTGTGGAAAATTGAATTTCACAAGTTGCATGAACCTTGAAACCCTTAAAAGCCAGGGGAGGGTAGAGCTAGGTGAATTAGTTGAATTAGTTTCTGCGTGAGTACTCGGTAGTAGGGAGAACAACTTGGTTTTGTTAATGCCTCGTGCTACTACTCACTGAGCAAGCTCAAATAATAATAACAATAATAATGCACCGGGGAGGCTGGGGTCACCCCGAGGAATAATTTGAGAGGTGGTGGTTGACATGGTTGGCCAAAGACACTTTGGTAGCTTGCCTTTGGTGGCTGGCACTCTGGGGGGGTGTTTGTCCTGTGAGCACTGAGCACGAGCAGAAGAGGACCCTGGAATATGCCGAGGGAATTACTTAAAAATCAGTGGGCGCAGCAACCCCCACCACTCGCGAGCACTCCAAGTGGTGGGTGAGCTGGTGGCTCCAGGGGGCCGGCATATAGAGGCCGTTGTAGGTCAGGTGGGTGGGTAATACAGCTCGTGCGCTGCTGGGCCGGGTTGCCAGCATCATCAGGCTGACAATTCCAGCTTTACCGTCGCCCAGCATTGCCATTCCCAGGTGGCAGCCAGGCGCCGAGTGCAGGAGCTGCCGGGCCTACGAGCACGAAGCACTTAGTGAGCCCCTCACCCGCGCCCGCGTCCTTGACCTTCAGGCGTTACAAGATTCTGTGGGGTCGCTTATAGTTAAAAGAGGCCTAGCAAATCATCACTCACACCAATCTCATTATTGCGCGAGAGCGAGAGCGGCAGCGGCGAGCGCACCGCCAGACTCTTCACTCACAAACTCTCTGCCTCGTCACCCCGTCATCTCTCTCCCACCCCTCTGTTCCCTCATTCCCCTTCACTCCTGCACGGCGCAGGAGAACTCTGTTCATTGCAGCAACAACGACAGGAATCCCCGTCGCATTGACAGCGCCACATTAGCCCGCTCTGATACGAGCTTTCCAACTGCCAGAAAAACTGACTCCGCATGCCGAGCCGCGGTCGAAGCCCTGGCCGGAGACTGAACCCTTGACGCCGCCCGCCCTCCTTTGGGCGATCCTCTCTGCCCGCATTTGCGAATCTCCTCAGTGCTCGACTCACTCGACCACCCACCACCACCACCAAACCTCAATCCACCCTGAAAATGCCTTTGCGTTGCTAACGATCTGTGCGATCCAAAGTCGGCGCTGAAAGAGACGTTTTGTATTTCACCTGAAGACAGTTATTCCTGTACTATCCGGTGCCACCTGCGCCCCGCCGCCGCCTCTTCAAGCCGACACACAACCTTTGTCCTTCCTGGACCCTCGACACGAGCGCAGGAGAAAAACATTGCTCCTTTTTGTCATACCTAGCAGGGTCGCACGGGCTTTTTGGTCGGCCTCCTTACACAACCTGGCTGGACAAGTGAAGACCCATCTGCTATCAACCTTCAAAGTTGCGCCGCCGTCATACGCACTTGTCGCTTCTTCCCCACCATTCTGCTTGAGAGAGAGCTGGTTTTTTACGAGTCAAGCGCTTGGTCCCCGTAGGGGGCCCGCGTCCTTGACTTACGCGAGCTCTGTCGACGGTGGACCTGCAAGTTAACGGAGGCCTGCTTCTGAGAAACTGTCATTCGGTCACTGCTCCTTGACTGGGCAAAACCAGTTTCGGGTTTCTCGTGTGACGCTGACTGTCCTTGTGCAAGCCATCTCTTCACGTCCTGCATTCCCTGACATCTCATTTATGGTGTCGTTATAACAAGATGACGGCCTCAGATGTCGAGGATGGGCACTCTCATTCGGCCTCTCCTGAGGACAGTGGGACCGAAAACGTCCAAGTGAACATGGCCGAAGGTCAGAGCAAGAACGACGTTAAGAAGCAGCAAAACGGAGCCACATCAACCAATCCCAAAGACCCTTCTCGTCCCCGGAGAAAGAAGGCACGTAGGGCATGTTACGCTTGCCAACGTGCCCATTTGACTTGTGGTAGGTGAACTTCTGTAACTGCGACACGCAGCTCCGTCGTTTGCTGTCACTGACATTTGTGGTAGGAGATGAGAGACCATGTCAAAGGTGCGTAAAACGAGGACTCCAGGATGCGTGTCAGGACGGTGTCAGGAAGAAGGCCAAGTATCTGCATGATGCGCCCAACGAGGCCCTCATGCCTGGCGTGGGAGGGAATCTCTACAACCAGACCGGACCGAAAACGAGTTCGACTGCGAGCAACGAGACGCCGCATCAACAGCCATTCTTCCAACAGGCGCCAACGTACAACAACTTTTCCACGCCCTCGCATATGCCCCCCCCAATGCTCCACGAGAGAAGTCTGAGCACGACGAGCTTCCCTCAGCAATCACCGCTGGCCACCAATTTCCAAAGCGTTGGAGGGCAAGTTCCAATGCAAAGCCCTGTCCTGGGTGCTGACCAGTCAAATAACAACAACATAACGGCCGCAGGCTGGCCAGGACAGATGTATAGCGAAGACCCCATGTTCAACTTTGACATTGCCAGCATGAACTTTGGCAATCACTACGGTGCTTTAGAGTTCGGTATGCTGGGCCATATGGCGACAAATGCGGGAGACACTCCTCCCAGTGATACGGCGACACGAAGCGGCTCAATCTCGCAACAGCAGTATCGTATGCCCTTTGGAAGCTTCAGTGAGAGCCCGACGGCCCGACAACAGATCTACGGCGAAACGATGTTGCCAGATTGGCCCAACGGAACCGATCCCTATGGCGCCCACGGACACAATCGCCATATGGCTCCCAACGCCTTTGCTATAGAATCGAACGCGGTGAACTGGACCTCCCCCGACACGAATGGCACGCCCAATAACGCTGTCAAATTTGAAGAGTCGCCATTGATGACCAGCTCAGGCCTCCAGGTGCCCCCTTCAGCCTTGGATGGCGGTCCGGTCATTCATTCAACCGGAACCCTGGACGCTCGAAACAACCGAGCCCCTCCTCCTATATCGACTCCGCAATTGAAGGCCAAATCGCAGCTGCCTGTCAAGGCTCTGAAGCGGCCCAAGGATCCGTCGTCGATCTATACTTCAGTTACCCAACCTTACCCTTATACAACAGGGTTCCACAGCTCAATTGCGTACCTCCAAAAACGATTTGCCGCACATCCTTCCAAGACCCTTGCCATAGCCAAGTCGTTGGCGTCGATCCGACCCTCGTTCATTGCCACAACCAAGACCTTAAACCGGGAAGACCTGATTTTCATGGAGAAGTGTTTCCAGAGGACCTTGTGGGAATATGAAGGTTTTATTGAAGGGGTCGGCACACCAACAATTGTAGCGAGGAGGACTGGAGAAGTTGCTGCTGTGGGCAAGGAATTCCAAATCCTCACGGGATGGACAAAGAATGTGCTCCTTGGTCGGGCCCCAAATCTAAATGTGAATCGCGGTCATTCTGGGCAAACACCTGGCACAGGTTCTGGAACCAACACTGCACGACAGACAGGCACCAACACTCCTACGCAACGAATGTTTGCTGACACCGAGAACGGCGAGAAGCGACCCCAACCGGTGTTCCTTGCCGAGCTCCTTGACGATGAGTCGGTGGTACAATTCTACGAGGATTTTGCGAGGTTGGCATTTGGAGACAGCCGAGGCAGTGTTTGCGGCAGAGCCAAACTCCTCAAGTACCGGACCAAAGACGATGAACTCGCCCAGAATCTCAATGTCGAGGCCGAGGCGCGCACCGAAGAAGGGCGCCAGGGGCAACTGGAGCTGCGACGGCAAGACAGCTCTCGCCGTCTGCAAGATATGAAGCGGGAACGCGACGGTATCTCTGGCGAAAAAGGTATGCAGAAGCTGGGATCTGCTGATGGGAAAGTGGATTGCACATATTGCTGGACGGTGAAACGCGACGTTTTCGATATACCCATGCTTATTGTTATGAATGTGAGTTCTCCATCCCCCATCCTTTTGCCTTTCAGCAGACTAACGCGAGTCACAGTTTTTGCCCTGTATATAGGAGGCCTAAAAAGTTATTTGCGGTTTACGAATGCTTTATGTATCAAATGGAGGTGCGATGTGGCGGGATACTTTGGTTATATGGCCTGGTAGGATGGCCTGGAGGTCCGGGCCAAGTTGGCTTCAGGCCCGGCAATTGGGGAAGACTGTGGATAAGCTGCAGTGGAACTGCGCGAGTACAGGATTTATATACCTACCCATGACCCTTGATTTGGGACAGAAACTCGAGGCGTGGACCGTCGCGGACGGTGTTTGTCATGGAAATTTCTTTAGTGTCCCGAGAGCCTTGCCTGGCACTGTTGATGAATTGAAAATTGCGAGGCCGTGATGGATCGATTTCTCTTTTCTCATTGAGTATTTGTAGGACACTTGATCAGCCCATGGACGAGTGCATCAGTGTTTGGTCGTAGAGCTTCTCTAGTTATTGAGGAATCTACCTGTATACCCCTGTAGGCCCTATTGACAGGAAAGGGAGAGGGAAAGGGAAGCTATATCCTCCTTGAGGAGTTCTTCTTATACCTTGTACCCGTGTCCTGTATCTTGCGTCTCAGAAATACCTCTACCTCTTCCTCTACCGTTGGTTAGTCGTCAGTCCTTTGCATCTTTGCCCGCTGGGGTATATCTCTATCCCTACCACTACCACTACCACTGGATCGACCATTAAATCAACCCTTTCTGTCCAGTCATTCCTTCATTCCTTTCATTCCTGCACATCACCATGGCCATAATCACCACCGTCATCACCATCACCATGATCATCATTCTGGTTCTGACTCTGCCCCCTAACCCTGACCCTTCCCGTCTTGACCCAACACGACCCTCTCTACCTCGTTGGCATCCACCTTGTCCATCCACGAAAAGTCCGTCAACCAGCTCTCCCAGCCGGCCTGCCGAAAGGCCTGGTAGGCGGGCCTCTCGAGACTGCGCGCCGCGACGGCGCAGTCGACGTGGATGTCCTCGACCAGGGCGTCCAGGCTGACGTAGTCGTACTCGGGCCGGATGTACCCCAGGATGAGCAGGTTGAGGGCGGCGCCGTAAAAGTCTCGCGGGAACTCGTGCAGGATGTGGATCTCGACGGAGCGCACCGTGTTCTTGTAGAAGGGGTTGAAGCCGATGGAGAGGACGGCCGGGTGGATCGACACGAGGGGGGGGGCGGGGATCGAGGATGAGGTTGAAGATTCGGGGGCGGAGGATATCGAGGATGACGAGGAGGCGGGATTGGTGTTGGTATTCGTGCTGGGAGTCGAAGCCGGTGCCGGTGCAGCTGCAGCTGCAGACGGGCAGCTTTTCAACGACAGGCCCACGAAACCGTAGTAGATTCCGCTCGGCAGCGTTGGGTGCTCGGTCGAAAGACCTTCCGTGGGGATGTTGGCTGTGGGAATGCCGAGCTGTTTTCGTCCGAGATAAAAGAGGAAGGTTAGTTTTTTTTGTTTCGTCCGGGGGTCTTGGTGCTGCTTGGTGTATATTTGAGGAGAAATCGAGGGTCGTAAACATGGAAAAAGGAAGACAAGGGTAGAGAAGAGAAAAGTAGGCTGGGGGGGGGACGAGGAAGAAGAGATGGCTTTGGTCCTCGGGTATGGGGAGCCCTGAGATGAGATAGCAGCCCCGGATAATGGAAAATGACATCTCAGGGAAATGATATCTTTCGTCTGAAGATCTTGTGGAGGGAGTTGGCTGTCATCGAAGGTCCAAGGTTGTGAGATGGTGAATGCGGTCGTCTTCTCGTAATCAGAACAGCAGGGACCGCAGTCGCGGATGTCGTGTAGTCGGCGTTTAACAACTCGAGAAGATCTCTCGGGACACGACATTCTCGACGTAGCAGTGCAACAGGCACAGCCTTCTTGCTCACTCGCTCACCCACTCCTAACCTGCTCTTGTAGTCTCCCCTCCTTCCCACCCACTCATAAACGTCCCTTGGAAGCACCGATTTCTCTCTTTCCGTGGAGCCGAGGACCAAAACCCGGGACACACGAAACATACCCGCAACACAACGTAACGCAACGACGAGGGAACAAAAAGGAAGAAAACAAAGAACCACTCTCACTCACCTCTTTACTCCCTCTCCCAAACCCCTTGATCACCGGCCCACACAGCTTGATGGGAAACGGTGGTTCGGGTCCTGCTTCGGGCCCGGCGTACGGATCGCGTGGACCGTTGGGTGGCATGGCTGAATGAAAGGACTCGGGCCTGTCGAGGTGTGTAATCCTATCGAGAGCAGGCAGCAATGGCAATGGTATCGTGCGGGCGGAGGGGTTGACGTCGTGCGCAGACTGATGGGAAATTCAGAGAGCGTGCAGTGAGAGAGGGAACGCAGAAAGTGCGTGGCAATAAATAAGCCCTATGCGTCCCTATCGCTGGTGTTGCTGTTTCTTCGATGTTGTCTCTATCGCGATCGCGGTCGAAAATGCGGTGTCTCCGTCGATATTGATATCGATATCGGATCTGGCTGCTTGCTGACTTATACAAAGGATTTTTTTCTTTTCCCCTCCGTACGCAGGGCGTCCTTCTGCCACCTTCCACCGGCTTTGGCGCAAACCTTGGCTAGCTAGTCGCAGGGCCTGATCCAACTGTCGGACAGAATTCTCGGTACACGGGGAGAAATGGTGTGCAGGGTCCGAGTCGCTTGAACCAAAGCTTGCAATGTCCTAAGAAGAGAGATATCGAATCCAATGGTCGTTGACAGCAAAAGCGGGATAACGAGGTTCCGGAACCGACTGGCCAATGGGATGATGCACATCCACTCAGCCTTGTCGTTCTCAGCCTCGTCAGTCTTTCGTCACGGCTACGCAGCTGAAATAAGCCCATTACCAGCGACAGCGACACGTCTGTCGTGATAATTAATATTCCTTCGTTACACGGTTTCGTCTAATCTATACACCGCCACGACTATACTTGGGCTCCATGAATCGAATGGCCCACCACCATATCCCTCCCAGCAGTCATCCTATACATTGGCCGAATACCCAACACTCGGCATGCGTCCAGAACTTCGCCTCCTTTCAGCCCATTTCCTCAATTCATCAACCCAAAACACGGTACTGCTTATGCATATCAGAGAGACCAGGTCCCACAGACCCAGCGCCTCGGTCTGAAAAACCCGTTGCAAAAATGGCAAGTATATAACACACAGTTGGCCCGCGAGACTGCCTGCAACCGCGTAGTTGAACATTTTGTTTCCAAAGAGCTTGATTTCGCCAATCAGCACCGACTTGGATTCCGACCGGCAAGTCAGCGCATTGAACATGTCAAAAAGCACAAACGTCGTAAAGGTCATGGTGGTGTCGCGTTTCGTCACCACTCGGGTGCGGAGGGGTGTCGACGCCACCGCCAGCGGGTCGACCGTGGGATCATCAATGTCCACCATCTCTCGAAGATAGATGAAAAGAGTGCCCATCATGATGATCGACGCCGAGGTGAGAACCCGGCGGATAAGTCGTTTGGTCAGCACATTGGCATTGCGAGGTCGTGGCGGCTGCATCATGACCCGCGGATCGACTGGTTCAACTCCCAGTGACTGAGCAGGAGGGCCATCCATGAGTATATCTGGCACACGTTAGCTGAGGTACTGCGAACAATCACCCGACATGACTTACTGATCCAAAGAATCTGCATGGCATTGAGCGGATTCTTGAAACCAAACATGGTACTGAGAAGGACCAAACTCAACGCCGCAACACTCGTGCTCAGCTGGAATGTGATGAAATTTTGAATGTTGAAAAAGATGCCCTTCCCTTGTTCGATGGCACGGAGGATTGTGGAAAAGTCGTCGTCTGTCAGAATCATATCGGCCGCTTCTTTGGCCACATCTGTGCCTAGCTTTCCCATTGCAATTCCAATGTCGGCCTTTTTGAGCGCGGGAGCATCATTGACCCCATCACCCGTCATGGCCACCACGTCTCCCCGAGCCTGAAGAGCTCGAATAATCTTCATCTTGTGGTCTGGGCTGGTGCGCGCAAAAATGTTCGTCCTGACAATGGCCTCCGACAGTTCTTCCTCTGACATACGGTCAAGCTCATCACCTCGAAGGACGGATCTCGAACCTGAACTTCCTTGACTGACGGGCATCCCGAGATTCTTCGCGATCGCCACCGCCGTCGTCTCTGCATCACCCGTGATCATGATGACTTTCACTCCTCCATTCATCAGCCGTCGAATAGATCTGTTGACGTGTTTTCGGGGAGGGTCGTTCATCCCGACCAACCCTGCAAAACACAAGCCAGTAAAGATATCCGACTCTGGCTCTGTGGACTTCTTATTTCCCAACGATGGTGTGGAGCTTCTGCTGGTCTGCCGTGGCTTATGCCTGAGGACACCACTGGCAAATGCGATGACCCGGAGTCCCTCCTCCGCCATTGCCTGTGCCGCTGCACTGGCTTCTTTCCGACGGCTCTCGTCAAGCACCACTTCTTGACCATCTTTAGTCAGATACGTGTCAGACCTGCTCAGAATCTGTTCCAACGAGCCTTTGATATAGGCTGTTTCCGACCCATGCCCATAGCCGTTGGTCATTTCGCCAAGGGCACTGCCAATGACAACGCCCATCCACTTTCGCTCCGAACTGAATGGCGTCTCGCTTGTTCGCGGTCCAATCTTTTCACGAACATCGTCTTCACCGTGCGCATCCAACAAATCGAGCATGGCGATATCGGTCGGCTGACCCAGCCATCGACTCTTGGTGACGGTAGATGATCTATCTCTAGTAGAGGATAGCACCGCAGCAGAGGCAGCAGTCGCGGGAGTCCCGGAAGCATTGTGAGAGAGTCGACCGTTGTTTGCAATATTCCCGATTCGAAGGATGGCCTTGGTCGCGGATGTGAGTGCTGCGGTTGGGTCGACGGAGAATGGCTTCCCCGTATCGAAATGCCACAATTTGGTCACAGTCATGTGGTTGAGAGTCAAAGTTCCCGTCTTGTCGCTGCAAACCACATTCACCGAACCTAGTGTCTCGACGCTGGGGAGCTTGCGGACAATTGCTCCTCGTTTAGCCATTCGTAACACTCCCAGTGCAAG